GGTCTTTGACTGTCTATGGGAACTTTTTGCTAGCATTCCGCTTAGTCATACGCACACCTGCTCGATAGACGAGTATAGTACAGTAGATAGCCAGAAAAGTATGCCACAGATAAATCACAGTAAGAACAACAAACAACACTCAATGTGCATCGATCAAACACATCCAGAAACCCCAGCTAAGTAAGTGCACTCATAAAAACTTGGCCAGCAAAAACAAACAGTTGGTAATAGCCGTGGTCTGCGAATGCCGCCTTCTGTTTACGCAAACTTTCCCATTCTTGATTTTTGGCAAATCAAAACACCGATGCCAGATACTCTCCGAAAAATGAATACAAGCTATAGGGTTTGGCGGAAATAATGGCTGCGTCTAGAATTCATTTTAAAATCTTTTTACTTTAAAGTAACAAAATTATAGACACTGGCGCTCTTTAGACACTCTTTGCAAATCATTTAATGACAGCCGTAAAATTTTTGCGAGAAAAATTGGATGGACCTGAAGCTTAATTAAAAGCTAGTATATACTTGTATGTTTTTATCAGAAAAATAAAGCAACTTCAAAAGTCGTTGATTTCCTTTAAAATTAATTCAAATACTTTTCAAAACTGAATGAGTGTTTGCCAAAAAAAATAACTAAAATTTATTAAGTAAAAAATATAGACATTGGCGCCTTTTAGACACTCTTCCCAAATCATTGCCAATCGTAAAATTTTAACGCGAAAAATTGCTTAAATAAAAGCTACATTTATTAGAAAAAGAGAATATCAGGCAGAAGTCATTAATTTTCTTTCTTTTTTTTGGAAAAAAAAATCTGTTCAAATATTTTTAAAGAATGAATTGAATGTTTGGCAGAAAAATGAACTAATTCATTCAAAAATATATTATAAGAGAAATAAGGAATTTCTTGCAAGGCACTAGTTTCTTCTGGAAGTACACACAGAGAATAATCAAGAATTTCCCCAACAGTGACAAAAGTACAGTCAGCTAGGAAAGATCAAATATATTGCATTTATTCCTCTCTTTTTTTTATTTTGCAAAACCTTGATATTCGACTGTTTTAATCCTTTTTCTACTTGATGTTATATTTTTATAAAAAACTTGGTTCATTTTGATTTTATTCCTTAAATGCTTTCCCTCTAATTGTTCTTAAAACCCCGTATTAATATTATTTTTATTATATATCTTGGCGCAATTCCTCACATTTTGTATTTAAAGAAGAGACACTTTAATTAAAATGTGTAACAAATTGTCGTTTCATTATTTACATGGAAATTTTAAGTCATATTACTTATCTTATGTTATAAAATACTGTCATTACAATTTGTGAACACTTCAAAGTGCATTCCATTGTTTAAACTTTTAATACGTCAGGGGTTTTTTTTTTCTTTAAGCAATAGCTTTCGGTCTTGATCATAAAATTATTTATACCCGTCATATACAAATACATATCTTCTGGAAAACATGTTTGTATGGTAGCCATACATTCGTATAAGTAGCGCCTTCTTTTGTCTGTAAAATATAATTTTGGATTAGCCTAACGAAACGTCTGTTCTTCTGTTTGTCTGTATGATCGCCAAGAACCCAAAACATATACGAGCTAGAGCTGCCAAACTTGAGAAAACGGCTTAACTTTTGCATTTGCTTTGAACAATTTCATTGCAGAGAGAAAATTCAGTATAGTAGAGTGACAATTTTAAATACTATATCTACAGTAGTATCTACTATATATGGTTTCATACTTACTATACAAACTGTATTTTTCGGCACACCAGATGATACAACCATCCGAAATAAAACACATATGGAAGGCTTCAGTTGCTATAATTTAATTTATTAGAAGCAAATTGCTTTTTTTTTAGTGGTCTTCAGTCTTAATTATAAAATTTTACGTTTAGCAAATTTTGTGTGTTTTTAATTTATAGGAGCCTTAGTTTATATGAAATTTATGTGCCATATGTACATTAATAGAACTTATGCGGCTAAAAAGATCAGGAACTATACTTGGTGAGGGAGATGAGCACAGGCCTCCCGCTGCCTGCCTAATCGGATATTTGGCTCACAGTGCGGCGCTATATTTTAGCCAGATGATGGCCAATAGTTGGAGGAGCAACAAACGGTGGCTGTAAAATGTGCACAGAGGAGCATTAAAGAGCGAGTAGAAGAAGAGATGTGTGTTTGTGTGTATGTGTGTAAGAGAGGGAGAGCAGTAACAGATGTAATTGGTTGGTAATGCTAGTGGTTTTAGAGTTGAGACCATGCCAAAAGTATATATAAATAAATGATAGGAAATAGTTTTAGTGCAATATCTACTCTTTCGGTAGTTAATAAAAAAATTTTGTTGTTGTTTTGTGTAACGTGCAATTTGTACAAAATGCCAAAAATCAAAAGTAAAGTTTCCAGATCAGTGCATGCAGATGTATATATGTATATATATAATAGGAGAGAAATAAAAAAGTGTAAGCTAAAACTAAACTTGGCCAACACGCTTACCACAACACTCTTACGAAATGATAAACCAACGCTGCATTAAATCGATTCAATATATATATGTAGTATATATTTTTAAATATTTATTTCTGTTTTTAGTTGAATTCATTTTCGTGCGTTCTCCGTTTGCTTATTTCTTTTAGAATCTATGTTTTAACTTAGTTTTCACAAACTTACGAATAATTAAAGTTAGATAAATTAGTAAGTTAGTCTAAATGTGGACTTACATTAAAAGGAAATTAATAAATAAATAGTTAAAATTATAAGACTATTATAAATTTTGCGGACATTATGATTTCCCAAATTGTTTCTATTAATTTATAGATAAAAAATATCGCTGGTGAAATACAATACAATTGAAATACAATATTCTCGCATTTGATTTGTGAGTTCGATTTCGTTTCTTTTCGTTTTCTATTCTCGTTTAAATAGTTTGATTATTTTTTTCGTTGAAAAACAATCGTATTCAAAATTTGTAACGCTTTAAAGTAAACACTGAGAGGCAGCGAGTTTGACGCTTATTACAGAATTCCATACATTTATCATAAAACTTGAAGTTATTTACAAGGGTATACAAGTATATTTCTATGTTTTTACTATTCGGCATTACACATACTCGTACATAGACTCAAATTTTTACATTTTGCAAGTTTTCTTGTTAGTAGTATGTAAGTAGTTTGTTTTGTTTTTTATATTTGTAATAGTTTTAGGGCCGTGGTCGTATTTTTGAGTATTATTTCTTCATTTTGCAGAGACTCAAGTATTTGGCATTTCAAATAAATTAATAGAAAATTTGACTAAAATACAAATCGTTTAAGTATTTTGCACAGGAACGTAATAATTGTCTGTTCACTCGGGTAAATAATTTGGCGACCAAACTACAAAATGTTAGAAAAACTAGCTTTTTTAAATGCTTCTTAAACTCGAAAAGTTTGCCAGCAAATACTTAGTTAGCTCGGAAAGAAGTTTGTTGAAAGGGATATGCAAAAATGTATGTGACTTGTAGAGCAAGGAAATATTTGACTATGGTCACACGAGCAAATAATTTGCAGAAAAAATTATAACATTTGATTGAACTAAGAGAAAATTTAAGAAAATCTAGTAAATAAATTATACCAACATCAATTTTTTGAAATTTTAGACAAGATTGCAGTCAAATTATTTGTCAAAAAATACAAAAAAATTAATTTGATTAAAACGACTTGACTATTCGACAATTAATTTAAAATAAAATAAAATAAAAAAGAAAATAAATTTGATTGAAGCCATAACAAATGTGTAATATTAACACGTTTGTGTGCAAATTATTTGCCTGTGTGAACACAAATGAAATAAATTAAAATAGAAAATAAAACTAATTTGAAAGAATCCAAAACAATTTTCTGAAATAGTCGACATGTTTGCGAGCAAATTTTTTGCCTGTGTGAACACAAGTAAGGGAAATTAAAATAAAGAATAAAATAAATGTGATTGAATCTAAAACAATTGTCTACCATATTCGAAAAGTTTGCGTGCAAATTGTTTGCCTGTGTGAACACACTCGATGAAATTGTACATGTAGTAATAAATAGCGACTATAAGGTCTGAACAGCAAAAGTGAATTTAGCTAAACTAGGCTTAAAGAATACTCGAGACTCCGTTTAATACATTTATGTAGTAGTGTGTTTAGTTTTTGATATTCTTGATGTGATGTTGCATTGTTTTGGGCAATGGCGTAGCCTCCTTTTCGATCCTCGATAGCAGCTGCGAAAACTTTAAATGCATTAAAACACAAATTATAATGCAAAAGTCCGTTTCAAGACTACGCCTCCGCAACAAAAATACATTTTTGAACCACAGTCGTAGGTGTGTAGCGTACATTTAGATGCTTTATGTGAGTGGGTGTGTGTGTGTGTATGTATGTATGTGTGTGTGTGTGTGGTACTTGCAATTACATATATATATGCATGTATATCGCATACGCAAGCCTTAATTTTAAAACAATTTTTACAAGACTTTAATTGAATTCGGTTTAAATTTGTCAATTTTTTAACAATATTTTTTTACAAATTTAATTTTAAATGCTTTTAAAAAAGAAAATAAAAATTGAAACTCCCTGCTTGAGTATAGATTTTCACACTTTGTACGTTTCGGAACCATTTTGTTAATTCAAAACCAACGAGATAGATAAAAAATAAATAAATTTGGAAAATAAAAACCATAATTATATGTAATTCCAATAGAGATGTGAATTAATGCGAACACACAACAACCAGAATTAGAGCTGAGCAAAATTTTGCAACGGTACAAAATGTGAGAAATGTGACGAGTTTGAAATTTGAAATTTTCACTGCCTTCGATTTCTATTCAGTTAAGAGTTAATGCCAAACAAAACAAAAAATAATTAAGATTATATTAAATTTGGAAAAGATTGAAGAAAACAAAGAAATCCAATTTGAGAGTTACAAAAAAATAGTAGCTAGTTGATAGATAGATAGATAGATAGTTGCATATAGTTTTGTAGATTAAAGCAAAACTCACACATCAAGCTGATCGTAGTAGTGGACATCATCGGCACCGCTGGACGCTGCCGCTGCCGCCGCCGCCGCTGGTGGTGCCTCATCGTAGACATCATCGTCCTCGGAACTCTGCAGCGACACATCCTCCTCATTCTCCTCCGCATCGGCGCTGTCATCTCGCTCCGGCTCTGCGGGATTGCGGGCAAAGCGCTCGACGCGATCGCTGGTGCCGCTGAGCGAGAGGGCCGGCAGCGGAGAACTGCTCTCCAGTGAGGAGGCCTCAGGTGTGGCCAGACTGGACGAGATGGTGGTGGTGCTGAAGAGCGGATTTTGTCGCAGATTTTTGCGCTTCACTCCACCAGCTCCAGCTCCTGCTCCTGCAGCTCCGTTGCGTCCCTTACGTTTCGAACCGCCCGCATTGGGTCGCTGCTGCTGCTTTCCCGCCGCTCTGCCCACGCCGCCTGCGCCCTTCTTTTTGAAGGACGCCTCTTCGTTGGGGTGCTTGCGATTCGCCTTGCGCTTGGGTCCGCCCCGTTTGCCGCCCAATTGGCAATTCGGTGGCGGCAGACCGTCGGCTTTCGCCTGCTCCTTCAGCTTGCGACAGCGTTTGGGACCGATGCGTAAAGCACCCGCCAGACGACGACAATTGTGCTCCTGCTCCGTCTCGCCGAGCTTGCATTTGCGCTTCTTCTTCGGCTTCTGGGTGGGACTATTGCTATTGCTATTGCTAGTGTTATTGTTATTGTTACTGCTATTGCTAATATGGCCGCTTTCGCTTTGACTACTGTTGCTATGAAGAAGAAGAAGACTACTACCACTACCACTACTACTACTAAGCAGGTTGCTGTTTCCAATATTGCTAATACTATTTAACCTCCTAGCTCTATCATTGGCAGCAGGAACATTGTTGTTCAGTGTTTGGCCACTGCTATTACTACTACTACTAATTGGATTGCTATTTGTATTACTGTTACTGTTACTGCTACTGCTACTGCTATTGCTATTGCTATTGGTAGATTTACTGCTATTGCTAGTGTTTGGATTGCACTGCGGCGGTGCTTTAAAGTTTCTGGCGGTCAGCTCGATCAGCGGCATGCCCGTATCACAGAGTTGGCGCACGCCATGATCGATGCGATTGGCGCCAAAATTCTTTGTTATCAGCTGCTCGACACGCTCCTGCGAAACAGTTTCGGTAATTGTGTTCGCATAGACGGCCAGCTTGCCCAACGATTTTGTCGGCGGTATTTGTAATTTGCGCGGCTCCCCGAACCGATTTAATGCCAAATATAGCACACGACGCGCATTTGAGTTGTAGGTGGAGGTGTAGTAGTTGTAGTGTTGTTGGCCCATGTTCTCGTTGAACACGCAGTCCTCGTCCTTGAAGACTTTCTGTAACAATAGAACTATTATTAAATTACTTGGCTATACACATAGAAGAGAGAAAAGCGACGGAAAGTGGAGGAAAGAAAACATAAATTCTAGATAGCTTTATGCGAATTTTAGCTAAACCCAGTCAGCATAGCAGTATGCGAGTGCTTCATCTTAATCTATATCAGGGACCGCGAATAATGATTATTTTATTTTAAAACGAAAAAATCATTCACTGATATTAGCTTTAAGAAATCGAGAAAGTTACCTTTTTATAGGATAATCTATTCCATTTCACCATGATTTAAAAATGTTATGTTTTATTAATTCTCTCAAAATTAATTGATGAATCTTGACCGAGAAAAATGATTATTTTATTTTAAAAAGAAATAATCATTCACTGATATTAGCTTTGGGAATTTACCAATATACTTTTCATAGGATTATCTATGCATTTTCACCATGATTTAAAATGTTAAGTTTTATTAATTCTCTCAAAATTAATTGATGAATCTTGACCGCGAATAGTGATTATTTTATTTTAAAACGAAAAAATCATTCACTGATATTTGCTTTGAGAATTTACCAATATCCTTTTCATAGGATTATCTATGCATTTTCACCATGATTTAAACATTTTAATTTTTATTCATACTCTGAAAATTTAATGATGAATTTAGAATCTTACTCTACAACTTAATCCATAATCATTGTTTTTGAGCAAAAAAAATAAAACTCATAAATTTATGATTTTCCCATGAGTTTTATTTATTTTATTTTTTTTTATCAAAAATAAAACTCAAGCTGTATTTTTGCATTTTTTTTTTAGCCCAAAACTGTACTAAGGGTTCTCTGTGCTTATTGTATAAGGATATATGTTTTATCCGTCTTCCCAATGAAAAAAGGCAGGCACAATTAAAACTTGAGGTTTATTTTTAATTAAAAAGAAAAAACTTAAAGAATAATCATTAATTAATGAGTTTTATTTTTTTGCTAAAAAAATTATGATTATTAGTTTAGTTGAAAAGTTAAACTCAAAACGTAAACGAATGAATAAAATTAAAAAACAAACATTTTGTAATTTTTATAATAACACTTATATAATAACAGTCCCTGGTCTTTATCGATTTAAAAAAAAAAAAACAGTGTTCATACAGACAAACATATTTATGTCTCCTTTTACAAACTACTATACAAAATATTTCTTTAGTATACTCCTTTAAACTTCAAAATCATGTCCCATGAATTTTTTCAATAAACCAACATAAGCTTCCTGTGTAGCATCATGAGAACATTACTCACCCCAGTTTTGGAGCATCTAACTCTTCTAGTTCAGGAGTTTACGGGGCTCATACGGACAAACGTGCGGACAGCCGAAGAAGCGAGCATCTAAGCTCACGCCGTTGATTAAGGACGCTGCCTTTTGTGCCTCACATTTACATTTTCACAAAATAAATATTCTATGGGTAAGCAGCAGGTAAGCCAAGGGCAAGCGCTACCTACAAACGACTTTCCCTTTCCCTTATTGGTTTTCTCTGCCTTTGTATCAGCAGCAAAATCTGTAGATAAACGCGCTCATTATCACAGGATGTGTCAGTTGTATCGGCATTTGCCATCGGATAAACATTAGAGTGACCTGACCCAGTGGGTAGCACACCATAAAGTAGACTAGTTTATGGCCAACTCACAGCTCCTGACAGCCTCAAACAAAGGGCTAGACAATTGTCCGGCCGACAATTTAAATGGTTAGGGGGCAAGAACAAAAGGATTGCTGATGATGCTAAAAAGGCGCCGCCGACGCGGCACCCTTTTCGCTTTGCCTCACATTTCAAGTTCGTTGCCGCTTTGTTTTGCATCATCAAATCAAATTCAATTAACAACATTGAATTAATTCGCTTGTCAGGCAATTAAAATTCTGGCGGCGACAACTTGACAGGGCACAGTTGCACTTGCAGCTTCAGTTTCAGTTGAAGTGTGCGTTTGCGGAAAATGCACAAAGGCCGTGCAATCTGTGCTCGACTGTTCTCGACTTCCATGTGGAAATGTCGCCGCTTAAATTTAGAAATTAATCAGCAAACGGCAGACACTGCTGGTTACACCAATTTGAGGCGCAATGGGGCAGCAAATGTAGCATCAGCAGCAGGGCCTTTAATACTCGTACGCTCTCATTCTGAAAATATGGCAAAAATGTTGACGCCATTATGCGATTCAAAATTGAATTCGCAGACTAATTTTTTGACATATGCGACAACACAATGTTGTACTCGTATAGAGACGTCGCTGCAGTATTTATATGACTGCTTTTATGATTTCTCAGCTATTTTTGAACGCTTTAATGGCAACACATGCCAGCAGTTGCTATGAAGCCTTGAAGTTATTGTATGGAGCAGATAAAAAGAAGCGTGGCAGACCAATTGCCCAAAAATTTGTGTGCCCGTCTGTCTGTCTGTATGAACATCAATATTTTGCAAACCTTAATGGCTAGGCACACAAAACTTGGTATGCAGACTTAACTTATGCTGCTATAGATCTGGTATATTTCAATTCATAGATTGTCGGTCAATTTAAAAAAAAAAAAAAAAATAAATAAAAAAAATTAATCTTTTTTTTTTTAAATTTTTGTCTATTTATATTTATATTGTAAAATATTTGTAATTGTAAAATATTGTGAAATTTCATTTAAAACGGCACACTATGTCATATACCTTTGATAGGAACGATTGTTGGAAAAAACATACTTAGTACAAACAACTTTCTTTAAAAAAAAAAACATATCGCGACTGAATTTGTTATTTATTAGTATTTGACAATGCCTTATTATGTTTAAAAATTGTATCAAAATTGGTGGAGAATATTATAAAGCTGCCATAGGAAGATTCGATGGAAGTATCGTGCTTAAGACAAATTCTGTTTATTACCAAATTTTATATAAACAAAAATTTGAAAAACCTCTGCAAAGTTTTAAGTTAAACTTTCTATGCAAAACTATATCTTTAAAATGAAATATAGCATCCAAATACAAAAATTTAGATAAAAGTAGTGAGTTAATCGAAACATAAATGTTTTATATTTTTTTAGACTTTCTAGAAAATAAAACTGTTATCCAATTACATTTGATTGGACTTTCCTGCTCATAGTACTTGGTTTCTGTAGTCCCATCTGCCTTCTAACTCGTGTTTTCTTAAGTCCGTGGCATGCCACTAACTAAGATGAAGTCATTTGGCTTAAACAGGAAGTTGTGAGTCCACAGATAATGCATGATCTGTACATTAGAAGCAATTTGCAGCTTATCGAGTGGCGCCTGGGTGAAAGGTTCTCAACGGTTCTCTGCCAGATTAGACGCCTACAACCAAGAAAGGCTGCTGAGCCACTTAGAGCATAAAATTTATACCGGTATTTGGGCACAGCGTGTCATTGTCGTGTGTTCATTTGTTCACACACATACATAGGTGCTCCCCCCCGCCATCACACCTGTCCCTCAGCTCGCTGTCGTTTCTCTACACTTTATCGCGTCGACAGGACAATAACAATGATAATGATAATGATGCAACGCAGTTGAGAGAGTTGGGCATTAATTCGAGAATGCCAGCACGCCGGGCGGTCCGGCGGTGCGGCGGTCCGTCGAAACAACAAAATTATGCTAATTAATAAGCAATCGTGAGCATTATAAACATTTATGACTACAACACTTTAATTGGCCATACACCGTTCGGTAAATGTTTGCCTCTCAGCTGACTCAGCGTCACTCGGAAATGCAAATGCACTTAAAGAAGTGGGATTTATGAATTGGCAAACGCTTTGCATTTGCAATTAGGAAAACAGTCAAGAGATGAATTTATGAATTATGTGCCGGACTCATGAGTTCAGATATTTAAATGTCATAATTCAAGACATAAATAAGCATTCGGGACTGTATCGCAGAATTTCTTGTGGAATTTGTTAAAATTCCTGGTTGGCACAAATCTAAAAAAAATGCAATATCGCATAGGCTTCTAATATATTTTGGAGAAATAGACGATATATAGTTTCAATATTCTTAATTTAAATTTCTTAAATATTTCATTTACGTTTTAGAAGCAATATTTGTCTTCACTTTTCATGCTTTTTATAATTTAATGACCTTTAATGAAATTTTTCCACTCAATATTGACAAAGATTATAGAATTAGCAGAGAATTTCCAAAATACCTAACTCACTATGTAATCTGTTGTTATATACTTATTATTTTTTGCTTATACACATATTTCAAATCGCTTATTAATTAATTAATTCATTCATTGCAGCTCATCCCCCTGGATTTTATGGTAAATATTATTAATGAACTTTTAAATATATTTGTTTTTTTCCGTCTGATTATTTTAATAGCATTCATGATAAGCGACTTGTATTTGTTATTTCTGTGAAGCGACGTTTAAATAAACAAACAAGTAGTATATTTTCTTTACTCTACCTTAATACTGTCTAATTCTTTAAAGCCCTATTCATAACTCTTTGTTGCAGTTCCTTTTTATTGTGCAACTCTGGGTATGATAAGCACCTCATTGTTGTTATTAAGAAATGACTTATAAATATATTTATTATTCAAAATATTTTATTATTTATTTTGTATAGTTTTTTTATTTAAACATTGTGTTTTGAGGTTTTTAATTAACAGATTATCCGTGTTTCGAGAAGCCCGAATCGAGAATTAAAAAATTTTGTAAAATTCCAATTCGTTTAAGGTACCCTATCTTTTCTCTTTAGCTTTATTAGCTTTGTGTTCTCTTTTTTTTTTTTGGTCTGGCTCTGAAATATGTGGACAATTTTTATATTCTAAGAACTTTACAATAACATTAACATTCTGTATTTGCTAAGCCACAGTGATCGCATTCGTATTTCCTTCATCCTTTATGTCATTCTTTGGTTTTCAGATAAATATAATATTTTATAATAATACGGGTAATATGAATATAAAATAATCATTTTGCATCCCTGCTAACAGAGTTCTGGAGAGTCGAGGTTGAACTTTTAAACTTATTTTGCATTTCTTTGAATTGGAACTTCTAGACTTTTGCCGGCGTTTTAAAAACTTGCTTATATTCTTTATTTCTCTGTTATTTTTTTAGCTCCTTTTCACTTTTTTATATTAACTAAAAATAAGATTTTAAAGTTAAATCGTTATTCAATGCCTTAAACATATATTTTGAGCCACACAATGATATTTTTCTTTATTTATCTCAGATTTCTGTTTTAAAAATGATTTATTTCGGCTCTGACCGCGCTTTTCATGTTAATATACATCGCTCTAGACTTTATTAACTAACTAAAAATAAGATTTTAAAGTAGTTAAAATGTGATTCAATGACTTCCAAATATTTTTTGAGCTACACAATGATATTTTTCTTTATTTTTCCCAGATTTCTTTTTTAAAAATGATTTATTTCGGCTATGACCGCGCTTTTCATGTTAATATACTTCGCTCTAGACTGTATTTACTTAATGATTTGAAAAATGCAAAGCAGTCAACTTTCAGCAGCAGACAGGGCTGGTGACAGCTTTTTGCAATTGTTGGCCAAAATAAACAGCCTAATAACCGCCCACTTGGCCAACACGACTTCGCCAACTCTGGCGGCGGCGCCATCAAAGGGCGTTCTTGTTGTTTTTTTTCTTTTTGAATTTTTATTGTTTTTGGCGATGTGCGAGGCGTCGTTGCATCAATCAACAATTCGTATCCATTGCTCTGCCGACTGACAGAATTGGCACAAATGCGTTTATTTCTGTTGCAGGCAGCAGAAACAGCAGAAAGGTTAGAGTGCAACTGTCAGCTAGAAATGCCGGCCGAGCGGCCCATCTCCTTCGTCTGGTTGATGCTCAATGAAGCGTGAATGGCGCCAGGCATTGAAAAATGCAACGCAACGATTATGAGCAACAACAAAAACAACAACAGCCTATATAGTACATACAAGTATGTACATAGAATGGGAAAAGTAAAAACAAAGTGCGTGGAAAAGTGTCACATTAATTTTCACAGAACGTGCGCGCAACCGACATCAGTTGGCACCACTTGAGTGCCTCTGCATAAAAAAGGATCAAAAGGATCAAGGACGGGCAGCTAGCATGTGGTCCTTTCATTGTCTGGAAAACTAGCGGGGTTGTGGTTGTTTTTGTTGCTGTCCATTGTTTTTGTTTAACGCCTGGCGCACTTTTCCTTTTTAATTTATTGCCACCAACTCGCACCTCAATCTTTTAACGGCCCTTCGAGCCTTGGATTTGTTTACCATTTGCGCCGCAAATTTCACAGAAATAATTTTTTATATTTATTACCAATTAAAGCAGTGAGTGTGCGCTCATTGCTTTTGAAGTCTGCTACCTATTTCCACTTATTTCTTTGCCTACGATATATGTGTTTTGAATTTGACTTAAAAGTTGGATTTTACTTACCGATCCATAGACAGAGCCACAGGCATCCAAGCACAGAAACAAACAAGTGGCCACACTTTGTATCTTAATGCGTCCCGTGTCCAGCGCCTCACGCTGCATTATTGCTGCAAATAAACGAATCAGAAAGAAACGAAATTTAATTAATTAAGTTGAGGGCAAGGAACAGCTTTTTGGCGACCCCAATCTGCCACAAAAGCCACTTGATTAGCCCAGCGTGCCAAAAAAAAAAAGAAAGAATAAAACTGTCTTACTTTCTACCCAAGAGGTGTCAGGTCTGCTTGTCACGCCAAAGCCTCACAAGAACTGGCTAATAACTTGTTAATTACCTGTTGCACAACACAAAGGCTTGTCAGGTATGAAAAAAATAAAACCGCAAGAAAGAAATGCAATTTTAAAAATAACGATTTCTTTCTTTTTCCAATAAATGATGAAATGCTAAATCTTACAAACAAAATTGCAACTTTTTAAGAACTTTAAGCGTAAATATGTTTGTATTTTATAGTAAATACTCTTGTACGAGTCTGGCTTTTCTAATTTTTAAGCTCAAGGCGTTCATACTAACAGACAGAGAAAGAGCTTCTAATGATCGCCACACCTTTTCAATTCTTTCTACAAATTCAATTGCTAAATTTGTCAACGATAATAGTTCAAGTTTATTGATTAATTGAGGCAACGGTTTTGGCTTTAATTGAAAATGTTTTGAACGCGCCCCATGGCCAAAGAAATTTTCAAGTTCAGCAATTGATGACGACAACGACTCCTTGAAATTTTGTTTAAGGTCAAACCACTTGTGTGGCCCGCCTGAGCGAGCAAGTATCTGAAAATTGTGGCCGTTGCCTGCTTAAAGTGTGTCAGCGCATTGTATCTGAACCATTGTAGGTATACAAGTAGTATCTGTATGGCGTTCGTTCAATGAACTTTATGCACTTTGCCATAATAAACATAATTTTATAAATACGCAGCTTGTTACGGTCCAATTGAGATCTTAGCAGCTGCTGCTGCTGCTGCCGCACAGCATCAAAGAGCTCTCGGCATAACAACAAGAACTTTGCGCATAAAAAATTATGACTAGAAGTTGGCAGTCGGTTGGGTTCGGTTTGGTTAGAAACGGAACGGAACACGCACTCGACCCGTACTCATCTCCGCATTGAGTGCCACTTGAGTGATATGAACAAATTTTTTGATTTCTCTTTTGTTTTTTTTTTGTCTTGTGGCCCTAGATATGATAACAAACCCGCCCGATTTCGACTTTGACGCCAAAATGTGTTTCCTTTCAATATTTTGTTTATGAAGAAGTTGTGTGCCATGAAGAAGTGAGTTCGGTAGCAAGTATGTATATAAAAAGTAAGATTATTTTGGCATGCGCCAAGCAGACGGCGCCAGGCCGAAGTTGGATTGATAAAATGAATAAGTATATTAGCATCAAATACAGTTGAGCATCGCTAAATGTTTTCAAAGGGAAATATTTTAGAGAGAGGGAGAAAATTCATTATGAGTTTAAAAGTGGTTTCTAAATAAAAGCATTTATTTCTGCAAAGTATTAATATGCCTTCATTAATCATGCGTTCATACAGACAGACATTCGAATGTATGAACGCTTTTACTTCAGAAACTGCAACAGGTAGAAGGACAAAACTTTGGAGAGGCACTGCCTTAATGTAAAAGCGTATAGTTAAATATGTTCTACATATTATATAGCGGTTATTGGAACAATATTAGGCAAAGCCTTTTTTTAATGAAAAAATCTTTAAAAATTTGAAAACTGTCTAGAGCGGCGCCGTGTTATTAATTTAATAATATATTTTTAGATATAGGATTTAGGAAATATTAGGCATTATTATTAAAAACAAAATCAAGGGTAGTTTTATAAACAAAACAATGTATATAATTATATTTTTGCTGAATGTAGAAGTGTAGACAAGGTTCTACTATCCGGTCTAAAGAATGCTATGAAGCTTAGACATCATCTGCTGTTGAAAAACATTTCTTTTATGATGTTTTCAATTGTTGATAATTGACTCTTTATTTATTTTTATGTCTTTTTTGAATTTGTGTTGCCATTTAGTTAGATGAAAAAAGGAAAAAAAGTTACACAATTGAAAGTTATTAAAAATGAATTTTGAAAAATTGTAATATAAAACTAAAAATAGTTATTTCTTGTCTATTTTTTGCAACTTTTTAATTATAAATGTTCGAGTTAATTAAAATACTCGCAACTTGATTTAAATGATTGCCTCTGTTATTATTATTAATTTTAATTTATGTCGCCAATATTTAACATTGAAAAAACTTTATTCAAAATTGAATAAAATAAGTTCGAAAAATGATATAGAATTTTGTCTGTACGATAACTTAATATGCCTTTTCTTACTGCCATTGTTGAAGGCATTGTAAAGTTTGTTTCTTCAAACATTTTTTACAACCAAACTTCAATCGTTTGGTTAGAGTTACAATTTATGTATCCTCCCCATGTGTTCATATTTCCGCCATCTCAGAATTCTGCTAAACAAACAAATGGATTGCGTTTTATTTACAGCACACGACCCAATCCCATACTTAGCCCCAACCACCTACCTATACGGAAATTGTAAAGTTGCGGCGGGAACCACAAATAGCTGAGAGTGCTCGAACAAGTATTCCCAATTCCCGGCAACACTTAAATTTATAATTTCCCCAAATGCCGCTCCGAAACTTGCCAATGAGTAATTGTGTGGCTGTTCCTAGCCGTGCAATTGCTCGGAATTTATATCGATGCCCGGCACTGACTCGGCTTTTGTAGAACACAACCGAATCCGGCTAAACTAAATTAAACAAATGACATGTTTAACGCGTCAGTTCATTTATTTACAGCCTACGAGTGGGGGCGGGGGCTGGTGGTTGTTGTCTTTAATGGGGCAGCCTTTCACTTTGGACGACTCTCCCATGGCCCGTTTTTTGGTGTTGCATTTCACTTGCCACACACATGCATGCAACAGAGTGTGCGACTTTTCTCGGTCTCATTTAAAAAACGATTTGTTTTGCTTAGGTTAACACAATTTTTCCTTTTCCCTTTGTTATTATCTAATGTCTAAATTTCATTTCATAGACCGAACTATACTCGCATGTGAAATATGTTTGGTATTTGAAATGAGAGAGAAATTTTAATTTGTTCCGCGCTAAAACAACTCTTTCAATGAATTATAGTCGCATGAAAAGGCCTTAAAAAAATTACAACATCTTGCAAACATTTTCCACATCATTATTTTTCCGACTAGTTGATTATAAAGTTGATTAGTTTTTTTTTGTCAAATTCAAATACACATATGTATATGGGATCCGATTTAATCTTTTATTTAATCTTTCTTATATAAAAGTGACTAAAATTCAATTCAATATTATTTTTCTACCTACTGGTAAATAAATTAATTAAATTAAAAGAAAAATGGTTAAAACCAATACGAATAGATATCACAATGGAAACTTTAGTATTTCTTATAAAAAAGTAACTAGAATTCAATTCAATATTGTTTCTCTCCCTATTGCTAAATAAATCGCGAAAGAAAAATTATTAAAATCAATACTAATAAATATCACAATGGAAACTTTAATATTTCTTATAAAAAAGTAACAAGAAACAATTCAATATTATTTTTCTCCCTACAACTAAATAAATCACAAAAGAAAAAAAAATGATTCCAACCAAAACTAATAGAAATCAGACTTAGTTCCGTCCGCAGTTCGAATATCGAAGTTCAATCCATGTAGAGAGTTAATAACAAAATAAAATCAAATGTTAATAAAATATAATTTAAAATACTCGCTAAATGTATTCAAAGGGAAATATTTTAAGGAGAGGGAGAAAATGATTGCTAGGAGTATGGGATTTACACTCTTTATTGAATGCAGCATCAAACCGGAAATGTTTGGAAGATATTTATACTATGTTTATATCCCATCGATAGCTTCAATATAAAATATATACAATATAATATAGCTCAATAGAAATGAAATGCTAATCTTAATGTAATTATTTTAATCCAATAATGAGCTTAAATATCTTCTAAGTAGAAGCATGATTCATTCTTAGCGAATATAAGACATGAAGTGCAAATAACAGAAGATAGAGTTTAAAATTAGCATTCTTTTATGGATTTTGTTGCTAATTAGTAAGCAGAACTGGTAGAAGTCTAAGTTCTAGGACTAATTAATCGATAATTTGAACTTTAGAAACAAAGTTAACTATTTTTGTTTTCGTCTTTCTTCCCACTCTGAGTTGGCTGGAAATGCTTAATGTTTTCATTTCCAGCTTAGCCAGCTCACTAATTCTAAACAGGCTGGTGTTTTTAGACTGTCGCATGTCAGGCAAATGACTCAACACCTGCCAGACCGTGTCGCTCCAGGCCGGCCCAGTCGGCAGTTTGGCCTAAAAAGCTTGCGCCGCAACATCAACGACCAAAAAACGGCAGGAGGCTGGCTGGCCAAGAGGCCAAGAGATGCCGATGCCGATGTCGATGTCGTGGTTGGGATGCCGCTGCAGAGACGCCACTCGTCTTGTCGTGTCTCAAATTAATTAAAGACTCATCTACATATTTCATTTCCACTCGAACTTGTTTGCTAGACGCCAACAACAACAACAACAACAACAAGAGCAATAACAAGAAAATGCGGAAAACAAAACCCGGCTGGTTGACAACTTCAACTTGTTGTTGGCTTCGACGGCGACGCCGACACCGACTGCGACAGCGACTGCGACGCATGCGCGCACTGCGGGCGCCTTCGAAAATTGGCCTGTCAGTGGATGCGGCACGCAAAACAAGCCTCAGGTGTGGGCGTGGCATGTTTTCGAAATGCATTTTACAGCAACTTTATTTTTTGAAAATTTTTTTTATTTTTTGGACATTTTTGTTTTACAACTCGACATGGGGCGTGCACGAATAATATAAACATTTGTTTATTATTCGCTTTTGTTTTCTGTTTTCTGCATGTTTTTCAAATTTGTCAAGAACGCTGTTTGCTTATTTCTTGTTGGCTACATTGTTAATGTTTGTTCATTTTTTTTTTTTTTTTTTTCCAACAACTTTCACTGAACATTTGTTTGGTTTTTGAAGAGTAGGGGAGGGAAAAC